ACAGAGCCCAAAAGCCCTAAGACCTAACTCAATCATTTTTGAATTCAAGATCCGCTACTTAAAAAAGAGAGGATACATATCACTTTGTGGTTGAGTTACAATAAAAAGTAAGAAGAAATTCTTCCTTAGATCAAGTGCAGCGCAGTCCCCTAGCCATGGCAACAGGCCCTTGAAGCTCGTTTTGGACCTCCAGCTCGCAAAAGGCAGCTTGGCAAGGCATGAGACCCACTAGCCCAGGCAAGCCCAAAGGCAATTCTGGACTGGGCTATTCCTGAAGGCTGCTGACGTCAGCGCTGACCCACCAGCCCACATAGCCGAAGGTCACAGTGGAATCCACATTAACGTATCTAAGAAGGTCAGCGTGAAATACCGCATATACGTGGAAACAAACTTAGACTATTACAAAGTTCTTTCCTACGACAATACCGATGCAAACAGGTAAACAAATCGTAATGGGCTAAATTAAGTCTATGTTTATTTAAATATAGCATTATCGTATCATTTACAAATAGTCGTATGAAAGTAATACAACTTCACAAACACAATTCAAAAAAATATAGTACGATTTTAAAAATACATTTTGGACTTCAACATATAAAAACAATAATATTGAAGTGATTTTGAATAGTTGAGTTGAACTTTATAGTTAATTTGGATGTGTTGAATGATAAAGTAATATGAAACTTAATGTTAAAATCTAAGATTTTTTTTAATGCAAAAATAAAAATAAAAATCAGGGATTCGAGCCAGGTATGAGGGATAGCCCCCTGACGGAGATGAGGACAAGGACGGGGATTCCCCAAAACCTATTAAACGGGGATGGGTTTGGGGACAAGGGCAGGAATGGAGAGAGAGGACAGGAATGGTATTGTCATACTCGGCCCCTACCCGACCCGTTGCCATCCCTATATAAGTGCAACCACATGGTACTAAATTGTCATTAATCCTATATTATAACACTCACATTTTTATAACATTTTTTATTCTTCTAACAAGATAATATACCATCATTGTACATGATTTAGGCAAGAATGCCACTTGCTCTAGTGGTAAAGTGCTATCATTGGGTATTGGAAGTCAAGAGTTTTGAATCCCCTTAGCGCATCAATACTTGTATTATTTCATATTTTTTGTTTGATCGGTCAACTAGTCTTACCAGTTTGGGTCGGTCGGGTTAGTCGAGTTGGTCGATTTTCGGTTGGTTGGTGTACCCTAATTTCCGCTTCCATGTGGCTCAAACGAAGTAAAATTCATTTAAATAGACAGAGCAACAAACCAAGCGATGCATTCTAATAATGCATAACTTATGAGCTGAATTGACCTGTGGCTGTAGGTGTTCAATTATAAAAATAGTAGGAGTGAGGACCACCAAACCACCACCAAAATCATTGAGACCACTACGCCACCATACTCTATGGGCCCTATAAAAATGGGTCACAAGTCTCGTAATCGTGTCATGTGCTACCAACACTTGGGATCTTTTCATGCTCTTCAAGCAACTATGATTCTAAGAGTATGGCAAATCTTGCTCACAGTTGTAAATACCAACCATCTACGTGGTTTTGGGATATAGAATTAACATTTCTTTTTTGTCCCTATTGCATCAAGTGTTGCACACAATTGTTGACTTTCTAGGGAAAAAAAATGTTGTGAACAAAACAACTAAATGCAAGTGATTCCCTTAGTGTTTTTTTATATTTTAAATACAAGTCATAGTCTAGGGAGGGATCTCACAGACACACATACAATATTGTTTTGGGGTGTCGAACTTAAGATTACTAATCTGCAAGTCTATACTAGAGCTCGTTGATAGGAACCTCAATGTTTAAATCTAAGTAATGCAGGCTTCCCAATGCAATTAAATTTTGTTAAGGACTTATCATTAGGAGGAACCTCTAAAAACAAGTAGTTGATGGGAAGAAACCAAGGGTTAGAGTCGACATTTTCAATATCTTGAAATGTAAAGCTCCTGTGCTTTTATGCCTGAAAGATGCACTAAGGGCCATAATTGAATAAATTTCTTCTGTTATAATGTCATTCTCTATCTTGCCCTTTGATTGTTAGATTTAGATGCTCATGGGTGAGGGTGACTGCTGGTATGGTTTTAATTTGTTTTTTCTATTCAAAAGATAGAGAGGATGGAAAATAAATTCTCGATGGTACTTTTTTTTTTTCCTGACATTAGAAAATGTTCTAAATTCAATTCCCTTCACGTCGTTCATCATAAAATAAAACAAAAATTATAGCTGTTTTTCAAACACCATGTCAAAATTTCCACCTATGTATGGACTAGAGTCATTTATCACTTTGCAAAAATATAAAAGAATAGTACAAAAAAATGCAAAGGCATTTGTCTGACTCCATAAGCCAATGGTAACATGTAAAATGGGGTGGCTGGCTCCATGTACCATATGATCGAAGAAGAGTAAACTTATCCTTTATACCCTAATAAAGGAAGAGTAAACCATATTATGATGATAATAACGAGTGGTGATATTAAAATTCGAATTTGAACAAAGCACTTCGAGCGAGCGAGAGAAGAGATAACAGATTAACCACATAAGTTACAAATTCTTTTACAATAATATAGATATTTTTAATCAAACAATGTGACATAAGTTATTATCTTATCTGAACTCTTATATTTTGTTGGAACATTATCTAATTAATATGTGGTGTCTTATGGCTCGTTTGGTACGTCGGACTGTACTGACTAATTTCTGTCGGATAGTATTAATTTGTTTCGGAAAGTACTGACTGTTTATCCATAATATTATAAGGCGTTTGGTGCTATTCCTGATAAATAGTCTGACTAAATTATACTGTGTTTGGTGCTGTTTCGAATAACATCGAATCAGACTATTTTTATAAAAAATATTCTTTGATAATTTAAGTGGAAATTGAAATTTAAATGACATGAATTTTTTTTTTTTATTTTGGTAAGATTCATATAACAAGATTTGTTTTCAATTGTTTTTGCCAAGATTTTTTTTTTCTTCATATAACCCATTATCAATTGTTTTGGATGAAAACTAGCACTACTCTGTTTAATACCAACAATCTGTTTTCCTAGCATTCATAGGTTTAATAAAAAGTATGGCAAAGTTAATCTTACCAACACAAAGCTTGCATGATATATACTATATGATTCGAAATAATATGAGGAAGAGAAGTTTGATACAGGATACGTTGGTTAATTCATGTTAGCCAACGAAAAACATAAACAGCATGCATAAAATGATGAAAAGAAAAAAAAAAAGTCGAAGACTAAAAACAAAACAAAACGAATTCTCTCTCTCTCTCTCTCTCTCTCTCTCTCTCTCTCTCTCTCTCTCTCTATATATATATAAAATATTATTCTTTTCAATTGTTATCTTAGTTTCTAGTTCTCAACAAAGTGGAAAAGTGGAAAATAACAAACAAAAAGCGAAATATGGACAAAGAAATAATTCATAACCTAATTTCCACAAAAATTTAATAAAAGATGAAATATATAAAAAAAGAGAAAAGAAGCATATTGGAGAGAGTGAGAGATGGATACCAAGAGAAGAGTGAAGAGAACAACCCATGGAGAAGAACCCTATGGAGAATAAGATGAAAAGAGCGTCTAATTTTTCTCGTAGAACGAGTGTTCTTTTTCCTTAGCTGTATAATTAAGCGTGTATTATCTAAATCAATGTGTGTGGGTTGTATTAGTTAGTCAGGTAAGGAGAGTATTAAAAGCTCAACCCGTATAAAATAGTCGGGTAATTAAATAATACAAGTTGACACCAAACACCTGACATAAACTATTTACTTATATCCATAGTCTAATACAATGTACCAAACAAGCCCTTAGCTTGTGTGCACCAAAATGTCGTCGTCTTACTTTTCGGTACCCCTCCTCTATTTTCAATTATTCATTAGCACATAACATTTCATAAAACAAAAACCGAAGAAGAAAAAAAGGTTAATTATTAGGCACAAGTCACGGAATAAACTTACCAGAAACAAAGAAGAAAAAAAGACGATAAAACAAAAAGTTTGTATCCTTTTTTAATCTTTTCGATGACGTGGCGGGCGCTGGCACTGAAAGAAGAACGAGAGAGAGAGAGAGAGAACGAAGGTCGTTACTGCGCAACAACCGCCACTTCCACGTACTGTCGTCTCGACGTGGGTTAATCTTCACCGTCGATCTGATCCTCCACACCCAGTCCCTGTCTCACCACAAATTCCCATTCCCCACTGCCCACGACACCAGATCCCACGCGATCCAAAAACAAGCAATAAAAAATTAAAATAAACAAAAAAGAAAAAAAAAGTTGGAGAATAAATATTTTTTTCTTCTTCAAGTTTTGTAGTGGTTATAACAACATTTACCTAGCAAGGAGCTTCTAGTTAAAAGGGATTGAGCATTTATCTTTTGACTCGAGGTCCTAATTTCGATTAATCTCTTTATTAATAATATTGCTTATATTTCTATAGAGGTGGTATTGTATTTAAATTTCTCTTCTCTGTATTTAAAAAAGAAATTTCATTGCGAGTGGAGTATAGTTTAGTTGGTTGAGTTCTTCTAACTTTGTCAATACGGACAGGGATTCAAAGCCCCGCACACCCCATTGAATATTAGATTTTTTAGGTTTTAGACATAAAAAAAATTTCACTTTTGGAAAAAGCCAAAGTTTTTTCAAAAAAGACAAAAAAACCGCTCAACTTTCAAATCAAAGACATGCAAATGTATTGGATTCCTTAGGAAATCTAAAAATAAATAAGGGCATTTTTGTCCATTTTTGATTCTTTTAAAATTTTTCTCTCTCCTTTTGTTTTTTCTAAAATGTCCCTTGAATATTTGTGTAAATACCCTCTTTTAAAAAATCCTTATGTGCCAAAATAAAAAACGAAAATTCCAATGCAACTGCAACGAACCAAAAGGCACCTCTCTCCTTTCTCAC